AARGRAWYCYWAAAAGAATTTACAAAAAAAAAGAGAGGGGAACTCAGCCCTTCAAGTCATTTATCAGCCCAGCAATCCCACTGAAAGGCAAGGTGCTACTTCCAGGGCAAGGGTCTAACGTAGCGACACTGCTCTATGTACAACTCATCTGATCCAAGTTCAGTTCACTGTCATTACGTTTCCCAGAATCAGCAAAGCAGGGATGCGTAATTACCAGGAAAACCATAGGCACAAGTCCTCAGAGACAGGGAAATGCCCTGGCTGGCAGGACCACCCTGGAGAGGCGCTTCTCTCCAGAGGTACCAAAGACATCTGCAGCAACCCCTGAATACATACACAGGTCCTCTGAAGAGGACCCTCTTCAGAGCTCTTCAGAGGCCCACACACCAACCTTGCTTGCAGAGAAAGCACCCAGCTAACGAGGCACTAATTAACACCCCATTTCGACCACCCAGCATGAAATGTGCTAGCACATTTTTGAGTGGAGAGATCGAAAACTATGTGAGAGTTTTCCTCATGCTGGCCACTCGGCTCCTTTTCGACCAAAAACTGAGCAGCTGAATGAAGACAAGTTGGAATCCTTTCATTCACCCTGAGCTTGGACCACCAGCCATTTACCTGCACATTTCTACCAGGAAACAGGAACTTCTATGTGAACAGACCACTGGCCTAAGGCTGGCTAGTGACGAAAAATGTTACCTTTTAGATAACCATGGAGATTCACAGAGATAAAATAAAGCAACCATTAAGTTTTTAGCTTTAATACAGACACAACTGAAATGAGATGAGAAAAACATCAGAGTTATTCATCAGAGAAATGATATGGAATCTAAATCTAAGCTTAGATTGAAGGAACAAAAGTAAAGCAAAAAATCAAAGCGAGGAGGCTGCCTCTTTGTGGACTGTTTTCCGTATAAAATCAATGACTGTATTTCTCCATTTCACTCTAAAATAACCTGGAAACAGAAGTATTTTTAAAAACCCAATTTCTTATGATAAGCCTGAATGCTCTGAACAGCCCAAAATATCAGCTGCTCCTGTTGCTGTAGAATGATACACTTGCTAGTCCTGAATGCAGCCCTTTATATTTGGTTTAATTCTTTCCTTTTGATGAGCAAAAGCAGATCTACGCTGTAAATCTCATGACATAAAATGCCTTTCTGCCTAAACGGATGGGCATTGTTAACAAATGGCTTTGCTTATGTTTTTCTTTTACAGAAGACGAAATACTTTATTACACACGAACACTCCGCACCCACTTAGTCCGCACTTCATCGGCTTTTAAATTAACAATCATCTGCTGAGCTAAAGATTTCTTTAATCATGCTATAAAAACAGAATTTGAAAATTGATTTGCATTAAACTGCAATTAAACGACGATGTATGCTTAGMTCCATGGCAGAGCTGTAGAATTAAAGCACTAAAAAAAATAAAAAGAGATTAATCAGATGCTTGTATAGCTGTGGAGAGATGCTAAAGAAATGACTGGTCAAGAAAACGAGCCCAAGTAGACTATGGAATTTGAAGTTTTGGCAATGAAAGTCGGGATATGGCTTTCATATGCATGCACAGGGAAAGAATATAGAGAGGCTCTAGGTCCTAAGGAAATACAAATTAAGTATATTTCACATCTAAAAATTAGTTTACCTTTTGCTGGCAGTACTTGTTGAAATGAAAAAGACCAATGAAAACCATAAAGACTACAGGTTTCTTTTTTYGTGTCCTTGAAAGGTGTCCTTATTGTTTGAAAGATACAGCAAAAAGTGGACCCAGGAAGGCAGCTGCATACACAGAGTCTCTCTTCTGAAGTTCTCCTTAACTATCTGCCATCTGATCAATTCAACTATTTTCTGTTATAGAGCAGCACTAGTTCACCACATTCATTATATTTTTATTTAATAGATAAAAATGATGAAGTCAAGTATGTTATTATTAAAAACACCACCAAAAATGTGGAGGGTAGGACAGGAAACAAAACTTACGAAATAAATGACATCTTTTATGCCTCTGCTGTGACAAACAGCAGCCTGTGTGATTAGAGCATTTAATATCTAGCAGGTTATTCACCTGCATTCACTAGTCTGCCTGGCTAGGGAGAGAAAGGAGAGCCTTAGGACCCAGCAGCTCACTGCAAAATTAAGTACTCTTTGCAAATGGGCATCTCATTGGCCTCTCGCCTTTCGAGAGCAGCACACAGACTGAAATTATGATTAGAATGGAATGGTTATGGAGTTTAAATGTCACAGGCGCTCAAAATAAATCTTGCAATGGCTAAATAAGCCAAATAATCTCATTTGCACTGGCACCCAATTATGGCCCACTAAGCAGTGTGCTTTGTTACCTCCTCACCTATGCGACTGCAACCCCTACAGCAACGCTTTTCTACCAGCAAAACGCTGGTTATTTGTCAAAAATATCGACCCATTTCAATACAAATCTGACAGGATGTATTTACGAGCTAAAAATCCGTGGTGACTTTACATCATTTTAAGCAAGGCAGACATGAAATTATTGATCAGCAAACAAAACAGCAYAAGTACTGCAGTTCTGTGGATATATTATGGCCTTCTGTGGTTAACTCAAATGACCCACTGGAACTTTTCACAAAGCAGGGACRAGGCACTGGCATCTGAAATCAATTCTGATTACACGAGCTGTAATACAGCCCGTACTAGATTCCCAGCAATACAACCTCACAAAGACACCTAAAMCAGATGTATTGCTCCCAACTAAGTGTTTGCATCCTAGTACTAAAATACCCCTGTGTGCTTATACTGCTATGGAGAGCTATGGGTAAACCAATCACAACTAACCACCCGCAAATTTAATGTTTGTTGTTGATGGTAAATATGCCACCAAGGGAGAAAAATCTGCACAAACGTGTTTGTTCTTCAGCAAATGGTGTATGAAGTTATTTCCATCTCTCATCGTTCAGCGTTTTTTCACTGAGTACAGCATCATGATTAGTGATTTGGACGCCTGATTGATGATGATGATCCTTACCATCAAGTTCATGGTATGCAAAACTGTGCTTGTCATGAATATTCAATACTCGAATCAAGCTCTCTGGTTTACTGAACGATCCCAAACAGTAAATTTGTTAAAAATTCACGGCATGTGAGCACGACTGTGCTGTAGGCACAGTCGAAACAAATTGGTTTACAAAYAAATATTTAGGAATAAATAGGAAATAACCAATTGCAGGAAAAGAAAAGCTCTGGCCTAATCAAAAAAGCCTACATTATTCAAGAAAAATATGCTCTCTGCTTTTCAAAACGTACCAGCAAAGCAACACCTAATCAAAGTCAGACACACGACTTCACATTGTCTTAGCTGAAAAGCAATCATATTTGTAACTATTTTATTAGTAACAACAGCCCCTAAATTGCCTGGAATTTTTCTAAACGGAACGGAATATGGTAAAAGGAAGGCTAATGGGCAGCAGTTCAGGTCTAGTAGGCAGACTTGTCCTATTAAAGGAGTAATAAAAACTGCAACGCAGCCTAGGAGACAACTTAAATCCTTGCTAAATTATGACAAAGTTGTTTTTCTCTCAGGGAATTCTCTTCCCATTAAGTCTCCATAGGAGATACAGAAAAGTTGGAGCACTGGCAAGTCTCCCTCCAGCCAGGAGGACACGGGCACTTCCCCAAGGACCACAACTTCTCCTGCCTGACCCTACACCCTGAGGATGCTGTTAGCAGGTAATTCCCTCCCTGGTTTTGTTCAATCTTTGCTCTTCCCAAGCAGACTGGAGAAACACAGCTCCTGGAAAGGCTTCAAAGGACACGGAGCTCCGGGAGTCCGTGTGGCATCTTGCACAGTGACCTCCTTAATGCCAGTCCCATGGTTTCTAGCAGGCACTCTGGGGAGTCCACATGAAGTGACAATTGAAAATAGGTCCAGAATGATACGGTGACCTTATAAATACACTCTGGTATAAAAATGAAAAGGAAGACAAATTCCTTGAAGGAGAAAGAGGGAGGTTCACATTCACACTGGAGTGTTGAGCGGGACACACTGAAGTTCCAGCCTTTGCAAGAAAGTTTTGGTAAAGTCAAGCTGCTTATGCTTTATGGACCTTATAGAATAAAAGCCTATATGGACCTTCTGGCCTAAATGCTTATGTTTGTCCGCAGTTACTAGGAACAAACTCCAACAACCAGACGACCTCTTCACTTTTAAAGCAAATGTTTAACATTATTCCATTCCATTATCAACAAAAAGAAATTCATGTGTATCTGACATGGGCTGCACGTAACTTTGTATTTGCCACCTATTTATGCAAAGGATTTTGCATTTACTTTATAGAGTATAAGTCCTTTTTATTTAAGTATCCAGACATGCGCTGTGAGCTAGATGCCCATCTTGAAGAAAAAAGTGAAGATAAAAGTAAAGAAGTCTATGGATTAAGAAGTCTATGGATTTGATTGAAGGGTTTGGCCACACACTCAAATCCAGCCCCAATCCTTCCTATTTACCATATGGAACAACGCACCGCTTCCCATATGGACGCACCTATAACGATGCATTCCTATATGGAAYGATGCGCGGCTTCCTGAGCTCCAGCTCAGCACAAGGCTGCACTACCCAACGGTGGCACCACGCAGTGCCACGAGGCATTTCCACACATGCTGAAAACAGATGGATGGGTTTGCACACCCAAACACTATGATCCCAGTGGCAACAAGACAAACCACTGTTTTTATCTGCTAGCATCATCACGTGCTTGTTCTACTGCAGCATCTGCAGCAAAATTTCTTACTGCTTGTGCTCCATGGGAGCCCCAATTTTCCRTGTTGGCAGCGCCTCCGTGTCCTGTGCTCCAAGGAGCAGCCTGGCCACTGGTTCTATGGATCTACTGCTGCCTGGAGGTTTCTTAAACAGGAGCAGATGGTGGGAGCTCCCCTCCCTGCACACTTCTCCTTCGGCATCTTTTGAATAATCTTGTTAAGATAACAAGCTCGAGGAGTGTTATTTTAGTGGTTATCACTGCTGCTTTTCTCCTCACCAATATGCTATGGAGTTGGTAGGGGGAAATGGAGCGGGAGAATCTCCTGAGTTTCGTGGTCTGAGGCAGGGACTATCAACTATGTTTTAAGACTCTTTGACCTACCTAAAACAAATAAATTTGCTTTCTTGTTAGGGCTTCCAGTCTGCATTAAGCAGCAAGAAGCTCACATTTTTCTCCTCTTTATTATTCCTCAGYTGCAGCTCCACCGTATGAAATGCTAGATCTTAAATTGAGATTTGGATCAACCCAGTATTTTCTTAAAATCAATATGAGTTTATTTACCAGAAATCACTAGACCCTTGGTGCTGATAACGGCTTCTCTGTGGCATCAGTTTCCGACTGACGTAACTCATAACCTACTTGAACCAATTTCCTCCAGAATTAGCAACTTAATTTTCTTCAGGCTCTCGTAGCATCTTCTGAACGGGAAATAAGGACCAAGAAACAGAAAGAAACCTCCAGCTTCCAGTAGAAATGAGAATGATTTATGTAACTGAGTTCYCTCTCTGCAAGTCTTGCTTCATTATTAAACTGTCTCAGAAAAGCCGTTAAAAATCATCTATTTTAAATGTAAATGTAGCTAATTTTCTTACTGTAGGATACACGGAATAAATCAGCTCCAAATTAATTTCAAGATTTCAAACACTGATGAGAATTGGTGGCTTCCTCTGTGAGGAAAGAAAAACAAGTAAAACGCATGTTCAGAATTCACCAGCACAACAGCATTTGGAAGAGGTCACCCAGCAGGTCCCTGCAAGATGAAGACCCTGCTCTGCTGCCTGGCTGCCCTCACGGAGCCAGTGCCACCAGGACCAGCGCAGGGGACAGGGCCCTGTGACCTGGCATAACCGRCCAGTATGTGGAGCAACCTCAGCTCCAATAAGCAAAGGGCAGTTGGAAGGACAAGCCCAAGAACCACAGTCAGACTTACACTAAAGAAGAAAAGGAAGGAGTATCCCGAGGGAGAGACAGACAGAAAGAGGGAAAAAGCAGTTGAGCAGTGAACCCACAGAACATGGTGAAGAAGCTGGTTTTGACCCAGGAAGAGACTGGAGGCCCTGGCAGCCTCCAAGGTGCCTGGCTACCAAGGCATCGCCCCAATGCTTCTCTGTAAGCCTAAGRAATATGAAAGCCAAGAGCTGCCAGCACCAGGGCGGAGGCAGATCGCCCTGCCGGGTGGCCTCGGCTCTCGCTCCYGCCGTGGTCCTGCTGGAGAGGGAGAGCAGACATGGATGGCTGCCTGGAGCTCCTGGGCTGGGCTGGCACACGCGGTCCCTCCTCAGGCAGACGATACTCAGAGGGAAGTATCCTGGCCTGCAAGTGCCATCTCAACCAGCACGTCTATGCCTATGSACTGAGTGTTTCTGAAAGAGCCAAGTCCTGATTTATATAGTGTGTCAGCACATAATTCTGGTTTTAGCAACAGGGACTTAAGGGCTTTTGCACCTAGTGCCTGTAAGCACTACCCCACAGGACCTGTAGCATGGTGCCCCAGGAGGAATCAGCTTGGGCTCCACTTGTTGTGTGCACCTGTCAGTGTTCTCCTTGTCTTTTCCAATWTATGTCATTCTTTAATATATAGGATTTAAAATTCACTTAGTAAGTAACATTACTGCAAAAATTTAAAAAAGAATGCACTTTTGCCTAGGGCTGAAAACAACCAAAAAGCATGTTTTTGGGTATCTTTTTCATCCATCTCCAGTTCATCCTCCTCTTCCGGCTGAAGCCTGCAGGAGCACAGTCTTTGAAGGGGAATTCTCTGTACAAACTCATTTCACTGYGCAGGAAAAGCAGAGAGTTTTTCCTGTGGTGATTTTCCTACTTCCATAAAAGCAGTGCTTAGAACATCAAGCCAGTACCGGAGCAGGGCAGCTCCATGTGCTGCATCTCAGCACTCCCTAACTACGATGCAAAGGYGGCTTTCACTGCCGGCTTGAGGCTAGTTACTCTGGTTCATTTAATCTTCAATAGTGTAAAATTCTTCTGCAGAGGGACAAGTTCAGTTCACCTCCTGTCCTAGACTGACTTCATAGTGAAACACAACCAAATTACACTGTAAAATCAGGAATGAAAGCTGCTGAAAGGATCCGGGAAGGTTTATATCCTCTTTAAAGTACCTATGCACATAAGGTTTGGCAGACCAACCTTGACAGTTCTTTTATAGAGGGGAAAAAAAGAGAAAAAAAAGAAAATCTATCATGTCTTCCTATACATTCCTGGTCTACAGCAGCACTGTTTAACATCCTACTGCCTTCTGGAAATCATGATCTAAGCAGAAAGCTCCATTTGGATCAGTGCTGTCCACTCGACATTTCTCATTTGCTGATTCTTGTTTCTTCTCCTGGTTTAAACAGCCCTTTTTTCTTTCACTCTATCAGAAACCCGATAGCTGAGTCCCATCTGAAACTTTGAATTTCCTAAGAAAGAAATACTGTGGTTTCTTCTTTGGTAAAATGAAATTCCTCTAATAGCTTAATTCATTTATCCATTTATTTTTAGCCTTTTCTCTCCCGAGACTGTTAAATTCCTAAATTCTCTTTTGGTTCAGATTTTAATGCAATTTTTCAATACTCTGTCCATCCTCAACTCTCCCCCACCAGATGGAAGCTGCAGGCACTCAGCACTCCTGGAAATCATGCCACAAAAATCCCTGCTCAATGCTCAGTCTTCAAGTACAACCTTTTCTATGTTGCTTATGGTCCTGGTGTATGGTCTGAAACAGGGGAATAGAGGGATTCACAAGGACACTTCTAGCAGCAGCATCCCGGGGTGTTTCCGACCACCAGYCCATTCACCAAGGGGACACGGACCAAGGGAGCAGACACAGGAAGGCAATGGACAAGCAAAGAGAAGCAGGCACAAGGGAGCTGAACCCATCTTGAGAGCTCTGTAACTTCCTTCTTGTGTTTAGTCCCTARCTACTTTTTGGTTGGTTTTGTAAAGTCAGTTATTTCGGTAGGTGTTTTACTGTAGTGTCAGTCTAGTGCATTAAAGAACAACAAAACTTCCCCTCAAACTGAATTTGCCATTCTCTGATTCAATCTCTAAGACGTGCCCAGGGACATGGAGGCTTTCTATGGGAAATGCWAAAAGGACTTTTGCTCTCTTCATTTGGCTAATCTGCTGGGAATTGACGTGCACAAACTTTTGCTCAAGCCAGAAGGATGTACCCTCTACAGCCCCCGATGCTGCACTGGTGCTTGCCCCGGCAAACCCGTGTGCCCAGCTCCTGCCTGATCCAGGTCATGCTTTTCTTGAGCAAAAGAGCTAAGTRCAGTTCAGGAAACACGATTAACTGACCCCATATACAGACACAGGGTTTGTGAGAGGGGCTCACACCATGAGTCCCCTTTATCAATGAGGAAACTTGGAGAGGGGTGAAGTGCTGTGGCTCGCTAAGAATCCTGCTTCAAACCCAGCAGCAAAATCTTTACCTTTATGGGCCATAATCCAGTCTATTACATCATGAGATTCAGACCAGCATTTCCTTTTTCCTTTCCCCTCTATTTCAGGGAGCTGCAGAGCCCTTCCCCTGGGAAATACCACATTATCCTCACTTCACGGATTTCTTATGCTGATACCCTTGCCAATAYTCCACTAGAACAAATCATTCAGGAACAGAAGCACTAACCAAAACACAGTAAGTCATATAAAGCCAGAAAAAAAAWTAAATAAATAAAGACTTGATAYACTATCACATGATTTGGAAAAAAAATACCATTAGATAAGTTATCACACAGTTTAGCAACAATGCAATCCAGACAGCATGGCAACAGAATACAACCAATGCAATCCCAGAATGGTTGAGGTTGGAAGGGACCTCTAGAGATCACCTAGTCCAACCCTCTGCTCCAGCAGGGACACCCAGAGCATGGAGCACCCGGTCGCATYCAGGCAGGTTTGAAGACCTTCTCTGGAGACTCCAGAGAAGCCTCCAGTCTCTGTGGAGCCTCCACAGCCTCCCTGGGCAGCCTGTTCCAGGGCTCTGGCACCCTCACAGGGAAGTTGTTCTTCCTCACATAGAAATGGAACTGCCTGTGTTTCAATTTACAMCCACTGCCCCTTGTAATAACCTCCCGTTCCCTGTTTTCACGTGCATTTCAACACAAAAAGGCCGCCTGGTAGGAGGTGAAGAACTGGCAGCCTTACCCGAGCAGACGAAGTCCTTTTTCTGCACCTCGGCCACGAGGAAGCCGCGGAGGCTGACGGGGGCCAGGCAGAAGGTGAACTGGCCGATGGTGCGTCGCTGCCGCAGCCACTCGGAGAGCCAGGCCAGGTGGCAGTCGCAGTGCAGGAAGTTGGAGTGGAGCCTCCTGCAAGACACACGAGCGCCGGGAGTCACCRGAGCGTCCAAAGAGACTCGGCTGCCGCCTCCCCGCGCACAAACACACCCGTGGAGATCAGCGCCACGCCTCAGAGCGGCTCCGAAGGGCATTAAATGGGAATTAAACATTAAATGGGAATGAAACATAACCATAAAGCAACACAACTGCTTTTAACCTAAACAGACCCATGCTCCTGACTGCCTCCCTTCAGGTCCATCATGAGTTGACCATTCTGCACCAAAACCAACGAGTAGATTGAAGATGCATCCAAGTATCATTCTGCTTGTGACTGTACCATAAAATAAATAAATGYAGGAAAGCGATAGCTTTAATTAAAGCCACAGCATAAACAAACACATATAACAAAAGAATCAGGCAGATAAACACGCTAAGAGATCCTTCCTCTTTTCTCCCCTTYTGAAATTAAAAAAATCAGGGGCAATTGACCCTTCTATGTTCTTGCAGTGCCTCCACCACCTCGCCAATGCTGCTCTTAATTTAAGCACAAGTTTGGGTTCTTATCAGGAATTGCTAACTGCTGACCAACACGAGACCAACCTCCCTGGCCCAGCTCAGCTCACACCGGCCCATGGCAGCTTCCACAAGCATTAGCATGCCCAAATGACTAGATAAATAAAATGTGTAAAACGATGACGCATTTGGGGAGCCAATGTGGTATTTCTGAGAGCTATTACAGTTCCTGCCGATACAAAAGCTCAGGACATTAATTATTTCCTTGCTTGCAATGACTCATAGGTTTGTATGATATAGCAAAGCTGAATTGACAAGATGGATTGAAAACCCTGTCAGAAATGGGTAGGCAAAACATTACTCTCCAATATCATGGCATTGCATTAAAAAACACCTCGAAAGGGTGTGCACAGGACTGAGCCCTTGCCCGGCTGACAGGCACAGAAAAGGGCTGCAAACTGGGACTGATCCTGCAGAGATCCAACAGCAGGGCAGAAACGCAGCTGTTGGAGATGGATGGGCTGGAAAAACTTGGGTTTAGGGATTACCCAGAGATTGTTGTCTCTGTGAGTGCAGCATGTGAGATGTCCCTGAAATGTTTTGCTCTTATGGACCATTCATCTTACTGGAACATTTTGATAAATATGTTGTGCCAACTGAAAGAAATAAATGTGTCTGGCAGGGCAGGAGCACAAGCATCGCCTGGCTGGGGCACGAGGAGGAACCTCGGGATTGCAGTGCCCAACCAGTGGCAAAGGGAAAAAGCACTGCAGTGATTCAGGGCATGGTCACTTGGCTTTTAAATTAAAAGATCTTGACAAAAAAAAATTGCAGTTGTCTATCTCAGCAGTCACTGGCGAGGGCAGAGAGAACAGGAGAGCCACCATTAAGCAAAAAAGAGAGAGGGCCAGGCAGGGACATAAATAAAGCCATTTCAAGGCAAGGAAAGCAGATCAATAAAAGCTAATTCCTGTCACTTCCAATCAAGTCTGAGAGATCAATAAAACTTAACAACAGAAGAGATGGTTAAATAAAAAGAAACACTACCATGGAAAAGCTGCTCTTTTTTTTTTTTTTTTAATAAAGAATTCCTCTAAGGTTTCAAATCTCACTAGCACTCCTGCTTTTTCCCCCTTTTTCCAACGTGAGGAGTCATGCTGAAGTCAAATATGTTCTTTATTTTTCCTTCCAATACATGGGGGAAAAAAAGAGCAACAAAAAGGCCCATTTCCTGTGTTTACTTTATATTAATTTCTATTTTGATGATTTGTATGGCTCTGATGAAACAGATAGTGGGAAACAGAGAAAACGGAACCATTTGCCTGTATTTCCACGTGCCTGCTAAGTTCTTTTCATCTTTATATGGAACTGCCTTGAAGGTACTGTATGTTATCTGGCAGTCTTTGGAGACTAAAACACCCCACTTGATATTGATGATGAAACCACCTTCAGAGCGCGTAAGGTGAATGAATACAAATGCCACTTTTTAAAGGTGCCCTTTTTAGCCAGGGACCCTAAATTAAATTTCCAGCAAATCCTTTTAGAGTGGGTCAGCATTCATGCTCTGTAAAATGTGGCTCTCAGAATTCAATATAAAAGCTTCCCTTTATAAATCCTATTTATGACTTCCTTCCTTTTTTTTTTTTTTTTCTATTTTTTTTCCTTTCTTTTTTAATTACAGCAGAGGGGGATTAGTCAGCGCGAGTCTCCAGGGAGCTCCCTACAAAGTCATCTCTGAAATTAAACTAGAAGGAAAAGTGCAGAAGGTCCCGGCTCCAGGGCCCGGCCAGGCCAGCCCGAAGCAGCCGGGCAAATCTCCTGGATTGTTGGAGTAGAGCGAAAGGGGAGGCAAAGCTGGAGGAGCCCTAACCTGCCCTGCCCACCTTTATCCTCTTGGAAGAGGATATCCTTTTGGAAGAGAACTTCCAAAAGACAAACATGCACTCCCCATTTAATTACTTATACTAACATCTCTTAATTCATCCTTTAATGAGGAAAATATGTATAAATCAGAGATTATCTAGCACAGATTGACATGAGCAAGAGGCAGCTTTCTTCAGGTAACTTGCCTAAAATAACTCACAAATCCATATGTAGTATCCCTGGCACATTCTATCTTCGAGCAGCCTGAAAAATTTTTAACCCAATTACTATTGCCCTTCCTTTTGCTTTTAGGAGTTAAAACATCCTGGGTTGTTTTGTGTTTTGGAGCAAAACCAAAGAAATTTTCTTTAAACACAACTGTTCCTGAAGCTGAATTCCTAAAAGCATTTAAAGGAACAACTTATTTAAAGAAAATGATCTGGGTGGGCTATGGTTAAATTCCACAAATGTATACAGCCTAATTTCAATGTTCTTGATCCAAAGCTGATCACAACTTTTCCATTGGAATAATATCCAGCTGTAGAAAACTGCATTTGACATAAGAGAAGTTTTTATGGAAAATGTGTCAGTTAATGATGCTTTGTTTTGGAAAATATGTGAAAAGAAACTCTTTGACTTTTTCTTTCAAAACAAATTCTTGTTTCTGAAGTTGGTTTAAATTTCAAAAGAAAAAAAAAGGGGGGGAATTTAAACATACGGTATTAAAAATGTAAATAATCTCATCTATATGAGAGGCTTTTACAACTTGGGCAATGTTCTAGCTTGGAGCAACTCTTGACTTTGCAGAATTTTTCACAGGAAAAGAAGTTCCAGCTCCAGTTCCTCATAAAACAAAATCCTGACCAAAGTGGATGTTATCAATGGTGCCTGGATGGAGGGTGGCAGGGCCTGAGGGTGGCGCTGGCCCTGGGGCACCTACCTGTGCTGGGGGGACACGACAGCCCCCGCACCTGGCCCTCAGACCTGGCCTTTTCCATCATCATCTTCCTCAAAGCTCTTCAGATTGGTGTGAGACTGAGCTAGAACCATGACAAGCAGCCAAACAGAGTGAAAACCAGCCCGTTTCCAAGGTGTTACTTACAGAGTCCTGATCTTCGGCATGTGATTGAAGCTGGTCACGGGAATGCGGGTGATGTTGTTGTTGTTGAGAGTGCTGCGGRAAGGGGACAAGAGAGGAGAGAGTGACACATTGAGTGGCCATCAAGGGCGCTCCCCCGCCGCTACGCATGGAAACTGTCCCCTTCTCMTGGGGATAAATGCATGGACAATAARGCGCGCTGAGGAACACCTCCGAACCGCGTCGCGACACGTCAGGACAGATGCTTTTAGGGTAAAATAACCAATACTCCACAGAAATTGCTACCTCCCATGTCCTGCTGAGAGCAGCCAGAATGCCGGGAGATGGGATTGTAGGTGCTGAGGGGATGGGTTCTGGCTTCGTGGGCCACCCCACTGCCTGGCTGGGAAAAAGCCCCATAGGGGAGAAAGCCCCATAGGGAAGCACGGGAGTCAGTCAGCCAAACCCCAGTGCACACAGCACTGCAAAAAGCCAGCAAAACCTCTCAAAATACCTGTGTACATTGAGCTGCTGTTTGTGATTGTGCATGCACGCAGGACTCAGGTTGAATTTCTAATTGCATCAGCTTTTCTTCTGTAAGCATTAGAATATCATCCCTCCTCTGCCTCAGCTGCTTGTTCCATAGCAAATGAACCACGCAGCTGGCGGGAGGATTTTAGGCACAGGTTGATAAATAATGGCTGTGTGTAAAAATCACCCAAATTAAATCACACGCATAACTGATGGCTGAAGAGGTCACGCAGGGCACTGCGGGATTCAATAGGAGCCATAAGAATTCAAGGGAGACTTCCTATCGATTTCCAAAGGACGGGGCTGCGATTCAGACGGGATGGGAAGCGACAGCGAGCGACAGGCTCCGCGGCACAGGGCGCATCCCTCTGCCCAGCGCAATCCTTCATCCGCGCGCTCAGAGGTCAGCAATTGCGGTGCAGTTTGGCAATGCAGATGTAGCTTTTAAATGCAGCTTTTAAGCATKTCTGCTTAATAGCCCAAGCAGGCACAGGCAGGGTTGCCACTCACAAAGCAGCAGATGAGAAGGGCCAAGGTCTGCCCCTGCTACGCAAATGTTTCCCGTAATTTGTCAACAAAKTAAGCAGCCTCCCCCATAAGGAACCCCGAGCGGGCGCCAGATTAATAAACTCCTTGCACCTTCAAGGGAGAGTGGAGCAGAGAGCTCCTGCACAAATAACTTCTTAATACATTATTTCAGTGATATTTAAATGTTAACCATAATGAAGGCAATAAAGCACGTATGATAACAGCAATTATTGCAGGACAAAGGCGGCCTAAGGGCCAAGGCACTAATTGCCAGCGAGCTGCCGGCCTCAGAGCCAGGTTGCAGGGAGGGAATTGAGCACTGTCCAGATGAGGGTGCAGCTCTGGCACAACAAGAGCCTCTGGCATTTGCACAGGGATGCTCCTAAGGCATTTGCAGAGCTTTCTGCCACATACATGGTGTCTTCTCTACAAGGATTTTTACCAGCATGAGTCCTGAGAGGGAGGCGTGCATGTTACGCTGGTGTATTTAACACTCCACAGCCAAAAATATATCCTGCTCCGGGTGTCTGTCAGCTGTGTCAAGGTGCCATTCCCATTCCCAGCTAGCCACGATGCACAGAAAGGCATGCACAAGCAGCTGCAAGCTATGAGGAACAGAAGCCTTCCAAAATCCCTGACACCTCCAAAAGCACACAGGGAACCTGGTATCCTGCAGGTTCTCCCCAGTGCACCCTCCTGCCCTGAACAGGCACCATCCTCTCCCTCAGAAGCTTCCTCCTCCCAAACTAGTCATCTCCACGACGCCGGGTCAGCAAAGCGCGTGTAGAGGCAGTGCCGCTCACGCCAGCGAATGTCCCACCTCGGGACGTTCCAGATCCTGGGAGCAGGAGCACCACAGAACCCCCAAATGCCTGAGGTTGGAAAGGACCCCTAGAGATCATCCAGTCCAACCTCCTGCTCCAGCAGGGACACCCAGAACACAGGGCGGCATCCAGGTAGGTTTTGAAGGTCGCCAGAGAAGGAGACTCCACAGCCTCCCTGGGCAGCCTGTGCCAGGGCTCTGGCACCCTCACAGTGAAGAAGTTCCTCCYCACCTGGAGATGGAGCTGCCTGTGTTGCAACTTACACCCATTGCCCCTTGTCCTGTCACTGGACACCACTGAGAAGAGTTTGGCCCCTTCCTCCCCACATTGATCCCTCAGGTATTTGTACATGTTGATAAGATTCCCTCTCAACGTTCTCTTCTCCAGGCTAAACAGGCCTAGCTCGCTCAGTCTTTCCTCATACGAGAGATGCTCCCATCCCTTCATCATCTCTGCTGCTCCCCGCTGGACCCTCTCCAGGAGTTCCAGGTCCCTGTCGTGCTGGGGAGCCCAGAGCTGCCCCCAATAGTCACAGACTGCTTGGAAGCGGCGAAACGCGGGAGCAGCGGCCGCATCCCCCACCGCAGCTCCACTTGGATTTACACACCCACCTTCCTAATAATCCAAGTACTGTACTGGAAAAACCATGGAAATTGAGGCACATCTTCCTGTTCCTTGGACCAACTCAGAGAAATCGCAGGCTGTCAGATCCCTGGCAATTCTTTTACTTATAGAGCACACAGATTTTTTTCTCTTACTTGAAATTACCTTAATRACTGTTAAGAGCACATAATGAATGCCAGGATTATGGGTGGCTTATTCACCTGTAAAAACAACACTTTTGCTGCAATACATCTGCCCCCTCTGATCCAGGTACCTACTGGACATGAACCAAAAGAATCTGCCAGTGACATCAGGAAAAGTGAAAAAACATAGCAGAGTTGTCTAAAAATTCTGACTATCTATTAACTACTTAACTAAGTATAACATGAAACAGTAAAAGTCAATGTTTTCTAGTTGCATTTCAAGTGGAAAAATATATAGGAGGGTCTGGTTTACTCCCACCAAAATGACTGAATGTTTGATGACAGCATTTAAATAATAATGCCAGGTTTATAAAAGCTGTAATATCCTGTGTTACCATCGGTAAAGGGAAAAAAAAATCTATATAAATAGGGACATTTCTAAATGCAGGACACTTTCATCAAGTACATACATACAACACGAGATGTGCATCAGCGCAAGCTCCAACGTGAGGCTCTTGTTACTCACAAAGGGACAAAACGGGGCCGGGAAGCGGCAGATGAGCCCAGCCAGGCCAGACCTGGGGTCACTCTCCGATTTCCAAACACACCAGAGGCTGCTGGTCTCGCACGTGCCGCGTCTGCAGCTCATTAGCACAAACAGCTAATCAAATTGAGAAATTATACGCTAGATTAGATTCCTGATGAACACTTTTCCCCAAGCCCTACTAAGCATCCGCACAGTCTGCGGCGCCGGCCGTGCAGCTTTGTGGTGCACGAGGCTTCTGGTGTCACACTCGGCTGATGAGGGGACGCTGCAACACTTAGAAACTCTCCTCTGCAGAAGGGGGAACTCTCCTACCTGTTCACCGGGAGGAAACAATTCTGAATGCACCCCCACAAACAGATATATCTATAAATATATATTTAGAAGCATGTTTAACGCCATACTGTCAGGTATAGGCATGCACTGTCAGGTAGGTAAACGGAGCAAGAGGTCTCAAAAGCAGCAGCTCAGGAAGCTGATTTTCTTTGGAGTGGTTTCTGTTCTCAGGCAGCAGAGGTTGTTCAGAGGCTCTGCAAAGCCGAGATTTGCTGGCAGAAACATGCTCCCTGTTTGGCGATGCATCCACACGGACACTTTTTCCCTGCTCTCTGGCTGTTCAAGATCCTCTGCGGACATCGCCGAGGGGTTGGGGAAACGCAGCCGGGGCGGCTGGCRGCGAGGGCGCTGCGGCGCTGACAAATCCGACACTTCCTTCTGTCTCCTTCAATTACCCCTCGGCTCCGTCACTGCGCGCTCGCCCGCTGCCCGTGTCGCGCGCGCCGTGGGTGTCCGCAGCACCRGCTCATTGGGCCTGGTGCCCGAGGATCATCCGAGTGCAGGGCAGGCAGGGGTGCACACGGGGCTTCCCATTCCTGCTGCAGYTACATGCAAGAGACCGCAATATTTATTAAGACTTCACCAAGGCAGCTCCCAGTATAATTCAAGGCCCTTGTCCCTCACCACGATCGCTCCAGYTGAAGCCCACAAGCCCCGCACGGGCACGTAACGGAACCAAACGCCCTGCCCTGACTGATGCATCACGCTGGGCTGTGGGGCAAGGCCCTGAGCCCAGCCTGGGCCTCGCTCGCCAGCGCGGCCGGCACCGCGGGGCAGCAGCCCGAGCAGCAGCAGCGGCGCCGGCGCCTCGATGTCGGCGCCCTGCACGAGCTGCCATCGAGCGAGCACTGCTTTCAAATACGACGTTAACCCCAGCAAATCACACTCTGAACAGCCTCCAGGGGCCACGTAAAATCCACAGAAATAAATAAAAATAACTGGCTGCCAATTTGGGGGCCCTATTCTGCTCATAGRGTTCTGCTGATGGCCTCACAACGTGCCCCTTGCAGCAACACAAGGACCTCGAGCTGCGTCTCGATGAGGCAAAAGCAGGCAGAGGAAAGAAAATGTCCTTTTGAGAAATGCATGAAGACATAAAAATAAGATTACTATTGAATTTGGATCAAACTGGCAGCAATGTTTCCAAATACAACTGCCTGATCCGTCCTGTTCTACAGCTGATTTTAATTTGCATTAAAACTTTCAGGTTTTAACTGTTCAAGCTTATTATAAAGGCCAGATATGCCAGCCTGATTTTTTTTTTTTCATGAAAGGAGTAAGATTACTTTGAAGAGCCTTTGGAGAAATTGCCTTATTGTGAGAACACATTCGGATAATCCCCTGTTTTTAAAAGAATACCTGTTGTATCCCCAGGCACCAGGGCTCCTCCTGCCTGGCTGCAAGGCTCAGTGGGCACTTGGGTGCCAGCCTTGGGGTACCTGGTCCCACGATGGCCACGGAAAGGCGCCTGGGCGAGGAGAGGGTGACGAGGAGGCAGTGCAGAGGGGCAGAAGGTGCCGCACCACAAACGSCTGGGGCCCCGTGCTCGGTGACTGCAAGGGGACACGCGCGGCACGGGCAGCGCTG